ATTGTGTTCCTGTTATTTGTCATCTGTGTCACAACAATATCAATAGCTTATATGCAATACACAACACATAACTAAACAAGAAACCACCCACAATACATAAAAATGTCAGAAGTGTCTGCAGCCATTACTGGAAAGTGGTTGGAAGCGCAGGGTCTAATAATTTTTAACACTACATGCCTTGGCTCCTTCTGTCCGTTCCTAAATACTGTAATTTAAAAACCACACAAACTGGATGTTCACATTCTAGATATTTTGAATTCATCTAGCAGAACAATGCAGCCATTTAACTTCCCTCAGCCTCTGGAATTTTCAATGAGTATTTTTACCATTGTGTTCTATGAAGCATTGTTTGCTTATTCTTTCTTTTGTATTTTTATATTTTACAAGTAACCCTCATTTCTCTATATATTCTTTTGTTTGGCTGTTTAGATAATTATTTAAATATGATGCTTCAAAATTGCACATTTAAAAATATGTGTGGTATTTAGGATTTTTTACAGAATTACAAAATGTTCACAGTTACAAGGCAAACCCTGAATTCAAAGTCCTTTGTGTTGGACTTTCTGTATGCATCCTTTAACCATAGGATTGTGGCTTATGTATTGAGTAACTCCTGATCACTTTCTGGTCTGTATTGATACCAGTAGGAGAGTGCAGAATACATAGTAGTACAAGCAAGAAACCTGCAAGGACTTGCAGGGGGTCTCATTTTCCCCTTCCCCACTATTTCCTCTTCCTTGGCAGCCCCCATAACCTCTTCCCTTTTCCTGTTTCTTTCTTTACTGTTACTTTCTTTACAGCCTACATTTGTTTGCCTCCTGTCTTCAGCTTTCCCTCCTTCACTTCCTCCTGGCAGCACCTACCCAGGAAAACTATGCCCTAGTTGTGTGGCGTCAGCCACTGGGGTCTAGTTTCTTAGTGGGAAGCCAACAAGGACTTGAGGGCAATGTCTCACTTCCCCTACATCCCACCCCCCACACTATTTCTTCTTTCCTTTCTCCTGGTAACCTCCATATCCTCACATTTCCTTGCTTCCTTTTCTCCTTCCCACCCACCAACCTACCTTTTTATCTACCCCTTTTATCTTCAGCTATATTCATTACTCATTTACTCCCATTTATACCCTACTTTATCCACACTGGGTACCCAAAGCAGCTTACATCAGTCACCGTTCCTCCTTTTTATCCCCACAACCACCCTGTGAGGTACATTAGGCTGAGAATATGTGACTGACCAAATGTAACCCTAAAGGTTTTCATGGCAGAGTAGGGATTTGAACCTGGGTGTCCCAGATTCCAGTCTGAAACACTAACTGCTACACCACACTGGCTTTTGTGGTGTGGCCGCTGTCGAATAGTAGCAGGCAGCCAGCCCTGGGTGAATCATGAAAGGTATGTGGCCGCTACCTGGTGGTAGCTGCCAGGCCAGGCCTCACTGAGTCCTCCCTCCCTTGAGAGAGGGTGTCAGCTAGATACCCCTTAATATGTGGGGTCCATCAAGGGGCAATCCTCTCTCCAATGTTGTTTAACATCTGTATGCGCCCCCTCGCCCAACTGGTGTGGAGCTTCAGGCTGGGATATCACCAGATTTTGCCATATTGAGAATTGATAGGAGTCACAACTTATACTTATTATAATGAAGAGTCCTTGGGCCGCTTTTGATCGAATTGCTCTAATGTCACAAGAAGGCTTGTCAGGTGAGAGTGAGAAACTGCTTAGGGAGAATTGTGAAATTCTCAAGTCCAAGACCCATGATCAGCTAGCCTTAGATTTATGCCATAGGCTAGGGGGTTCCCAGCCTTTGGGGCCCATGAATGCTACTGGAATGTAGTAGTGGGTGTCACCAAAGAATGGCTGCTGATGGGGGGCAGGGACCAGTCAAAATGTTGGGCAGTTCCATGCTAAGCATCCTTCTGTAACTCATGTACCTATTTCCAATTGGGTGTTCCCTGCAGAAACAAAGATGATGCCTCCTGGGCTCTTCTGAAGCACCTCCTGTTCCAGTTATGTGAAATAATATAGGATTCACTCTTTGCTTTGAGGAAGAGATTATATGGGCACTAGGAAGCATATTCATGCACAACATGGTACCCAGAGACACCACACCGGGGACCACAGCCTATCATGTTGGGGCCACTTCCGTAGGCTTTTGAATAACACCTTATTGGAACAAATTGGTTATGCACACAAGCCTTTAAGTGGAAATAGATAACTGTTACTGCTTGTGGATATAGATATCCAGGGGTCTTTTGGGGCCAGAGCGCACCGGAGTGCCACTCTGGCAGCCCAGGAGCCGGCACAAATGGTGGCGCGGCAAGCCCCGCCCCCAGCTCCCCGCACCAAAGCACTGGGGCCAGGGGGAGGCCCGAAGAACCCCACTGCCGGGTCCCCCGGGCCCACACAGAAATTCTGGGGCCGGGGACAGGCCCAAAGAGCCCTGCAGCCAGGTCCCCCAGGCCTGCGCAGAAGTGCTGGGGCTGGGGGAAACCCAGAGATCCCTGCAGCCGGGTCCACGCAGAAGGGCTGGGGTTGGGGGCAGGCCCAGAGACCCCCACAGCTGGGTCCTCCGGGCCCGCGCAGGAGTGCTGGGGGAAGCCTGGAGAGCCCCGCAGCTGGGTCCCCCAGGCCTGCGCAGGATCGCTGGGGCCGGGGGCAGGCCCGGAGAGCCTCGCAGCCGGTCCCCTGGGCCCACACAGGAGTGGTAAGAGATGGGGGGGGGCGGGTGGC